AATTTCGTGGAAATTTGGGACTGCTCACCTATTTCGCGATTAGAAGCAGTAAGATCATATTTTACGTACGCTAGGACGTTTATTTCGACTTCTTCGCTTACTATAAAACCATTACCATTAACAGGATCGTTATGTTAATTTTTCAAATGTTCTACAAGCCAAGTATAATAGGCGTGTGATGGAGCTTGACGATCGGGAAACCGCTCCTGATATAATCTTGAGGCGCGCCTCTAATTTTTTTGAAATTCACCATAAATAAGGAGCATGTCGATTTGAGGATCTCTTAAATATTTTATTATACTTTGAGTTCAAATGAAATAAACAAATAAAATAAAAAATACTACACAATAAATGATGCTGACGAGTGGAAACGAGACTGATAGTTGACAGTAATTTTAAAGGCTTCCCCGTCCTTTTGTTTCCGAAGCATCCCCAGATCTCCATGCAAACCAGTGAAATATTCGACCCTGTTGATTATTACATTCTGGCTTTTTAAAATAAAGAAAATGAAACAATAATTGTAATAAAAAAAAGAAAATCATAGATATTTTCTGTCACGTGACTATTTACCTATTAACTACGCTTACAAATACTAATTTTCTAATTAGTTATAATGCATCATATAGCTCTCCAAAATTTTCCAGCTTTTTTTTTCTAAGACATGTTCCTTATAGTGGACATTTTTTTAGAGATAATCAGGCATACTTTATTAGTGGTACTTAGAAAACACCGTTTCCTATTCAAAATTCTGAGAAAATTTCAAATATATTTTGACATTTTAAGCAAAAACTAAAATAACCGCAATTTTATATTTTTTTGTTTTGCCAACTCAATGTAATAGCTGCAAGATAATCGATTTTGCTTCTTATTTCAGCGGGTAGTTTGTATTGTCAAAACGCCAATTGAATTTGGCGTAAATGCCATTTACGCCGCTATTTTGAAAAAGAATCACAACTTGTGATACATCGTTGAAAAATGAATTTTTAGCTTTATGAAAATATGTAAAAATTTATACAGGGTCTTACTTAAAATTCTTGTTTCATACTCACTTCCAGTCAAACCGGAAGCGATATTCAGATAATCTGAGTTTTTATATGTCACATCTTCACACACAATTTCAAGGTGCTTCTTTAAACAGCAATTGAATAGTGCCTTGTAAAACGATTTCGTTGACACCCTGTATATAAGTGATCTGCCCTCGAGTATTGATAACGGATCCTGCTTCCTATTTGCAGACGATACCGTCTTGCACCAGACCTGACCAAAACACAAGTGTCGATAGTCTGGAACAAGCTAAAAGATGGTTTTTAGCCAACAAGTTATCGCTATTTGAAAATAATATCGTATTCATTTTCCTCTGTCAGGAGATCTAAAAATAAAAGATACAACTTCAGGGGATACCTTTTTCACACCCTATATCTATGCGTCAGGGTATTATTGTAAAGTTCATGGAAGATTTTGTTGTTATTCGATATACTAGCAAGACGGTACAAATGACGCTGCCCATCGACGATGTTCTAACCCTCTAAAACATTCTCATTGTACCTACTTTTATTGTGGGAATCAGAAAATCTGGAGGAGTTGATTGAACCATAAATTTTTGGTGTGTCGTTATAGAGTCACAATCAAATCTGTGGTATGTAAATACTTTAACGACCGACCTCGGTTGTCGGTCAGATACATTTAAGTTTAATATCGAATCGATTAGGCGCCAAATTTATTTATGCTGCTGCTTTCCATATTTGATCGCGGGCAATAAAACACTTAGTGTACAGCTCAAATTGAAAATTATTAACATATTTTATTCTCTGTAGCTGTAGATGGTTAAGAAGTCTGAATCTAGGACAAATAAATTACAGTTAAAAAAGTAGGAAAGGAAAATTTCGATATATTTGCAGTCACCGAAACTTGGTTGAATGATGATATCTGATCTTCGGCTATCCGTATTCCCAATTACAATTTTATCGGTAGAGGGGAGCTGTCGGCTTCTTTCCAAAAGAACACATAAAATTCAAGTTGCTCCGTACAAATATTGACCCCATTGGAAGAGCAATGGATCAGTTTCAGATTCGATGGCAAAACGTACACCTTCGGTGCATTGTATCGACCTCCTTCTTCCAATATTCCGCAAACATTTGACAGTATATAAAATACCTTATCTATAGTATTACCATCTGCGGATGTTATCGTAATTCTAGGTGATCTCAATATAAATTTATTGATTAATTCATCGGATACGGATATCATGCTAAATTTTTTAGAATCTTTCAATTTGAAGCAGGTAGTAGATCCACCCACGAGGGTTATTAGAAACTCACAAACATTGATAGATGTTATTATCTGCCCAGATGGAGAAAATGTAAGAAACTGCAATGTTGTACCAGTCCATGAGTTATCTGATCATTCAGCTGTTGTTTATCACCTCCATAAAACGTTAAGGAACCGGACGCAGAAGTTTTACACGTTTAGGGACTTTCGTAACTTTAATGAACGTATGGTATATCTGAAGTCACTTGAAATAGCATAAAAACCTTTGGTCGGCGCGTCCTTTGTAATTTCATGACGTATCATAGGCGTGCGGAAATTTATTTAGAACGATAATAATAATGTTTTTATATCACAATAAATGGATTTTACTATCTTCTTATTTTTTTGATTTGGGATAAAAAATACTTATATTTGGAGTTTAATTTATGTTGACTGAAAGTTAAGAAATGGAAAAATTACAGAATTCCAACGTTTGACATAGGCAAATATTTACATAGCAGGTAGGTATATAAAAAGGTATATAAAGACTTACATTTTAGGTATTTATATATCATCCTCGCGTTCGGAGCTGTCGCTAGAGTCATCTTGTAGAGGAATTACAACGGGATTTACAGGAGGCAAAACACAATATTCATTTTCTTTTTCAATAATATGCCTAGAACACTGCTTCCATAGGTCTCTGGCAGCAATATGAGATACTGCATCTCTTATTGTGGCCAATAGCGATTCACTTAATTGAGGGGTCCGATTATGTTTTCTTACTTTTTTTTTAAACTAGCCCAGACCAACTCAATCGGGTTAAAAATGCAGTAATAGGGAGGCAGACGTAATACTTCATGGCCATTTTGCTGAAGCAGATTGTCAACAACATACTCTTTTTCAAATTTGTGTCTTTTAATAAGATCCAATAATATGGCTTTGGTTGATTTTTGTGGTATTTCCATTCCCTTATCCTTCATAAAATCAATAATGTCTTGTTTTTTTGTGCCTGTATTCGGAATTTTGTTTTTCTGTCGGGAATGGTATGGCGCATTGTCCATAATAATCACTGAATTTGGGGAAATGTTTGGTAATAACTGCTGCTCTATCCACTTTTCAAATAAGTCGGAGGTCATGTCCTCATGATAGTCGGCACATGATTCTTTGATATTTTTGGCAGATAACAGCAAGGCATTAGGTATAAATCCATTTTCACTGCCAGCATGGAGAATAATGATTCGTTTTCCACGGTTGCATGGTGCATTTAAAATGCACTTGTTGCTGTCGTCAACCCAGCCGTACTGCACAACATCATGGGTATCATACCTCGTTTCATCCAGGTAAATCAGATTTCTTTTCTGCTATCTATAGATTTTAACTTTGTGCAAAAATTCTTGGCGCAATTCAACGATTCGAGACGACTCCATAATCACCATTCTTTTATCTAATTTTTTGTATTGAAAACCACACAGTTTTACAATACACTGCAGTGACTCTAAGCATTTGTAATTATAAAAATCTTCAGGATACTCTTTTAATTTATCCCGTATCATTTCCAGCGTGGGCACCAAATTTTCTTTATAAAATCCGTATATTATACGACGAATATCTTCCTGAAAACCCACGTCTATTCTTTTTAATTTTTGCCCTATGCGCTTTCTGTGTAAGGAATGGTTGACTACATCTCCCCTTTTTATAACCCGATAAATAATGGTAGACCGACTGATTTTTGTCAGGATACAAATTCTGTTTAAAATTTGATTTTGCGAGGAATCTGGATTTTCACATCATACATATTTAGGATTACTCTTTGGGTCTGTTCCTCTAAATCTTTATGAAAAAATTCTGCCTGCACAGGTTCATCAACCATCTCCTCGTGGCTTGGAGCATTTTCCCAAGGTCTCCAAAGAGCCATATTTAGGACACACAAGAACAATCAACACAACAATTAAATCAACAAGTAAACAGAGTATTCAAAAGTCAAAAACACACAAACTAATAAAATCTATGAAAAAACACGGACAGACTAAAGAAAACACGTTTATTCACCGCTACACGGCACTGGCTAAACTGTTTCAATTTTCAATAGCCACCTGCACTTGTTCGGAGCTCTGAAATACACGCTTTCTCATTGGCTATGTCCACGCATAGGCGTGCTTTACTCCACGTGGACCGGTGAAACTGCCTTTGATCTTATACGGGGATATTTGCTGCGAAATTTGGCGATTTTTGCAGCAACAGAGCGTGTTAAATATAGATATAGAAAACGCACCCGGTATTTCACAGTGTTTCAAGTGACTTCAGATAAAGTATACCTTCTTTGATTTATTTCATTCGACTCATTTTTCAATTAAAATAACAACATACTAAATTTATTTGATAACTGTGCGCCTATGAGAACACTTAGAGTTACTAAGCCACCAGCTCCTTGGCTAACATACAATATTAAAATGATTAATAAAACCAGATATAAAGCTTATTTAAGGTTTAAAAGAAGTAAGTCAACTGCCCACTGGAACTATTATAAAGAACTCCGTAATTATGCTGATGCTGCTCTTCGGGGAGAGAAAAAGGCTTATACGGAATATATCCTATCTGGGAGGAACAGTAAAGCAATATGACGTTCTCTTAGGAAACTTAAAATAATTAAATCCTCTATAAATACTCTTCCAGATAGCTTCAATAACGCAGATGAAATAAATTCACATTTCTCAAATATTCCGATCATAACCAAGACACAAAAGCAATTAGAACTACTGAACAAATATCAAAACAATAAGATTCCCAAGTCATTCTGTTGCAAAAGGTTGACAAAGAATCCGTTGCGAAGAGTTTCTGATGGAATCTCACTCATTATGATAACATACATTTTCACTTTGCTCTTAGTCCATATTACATTTATCATCAATCACGCAATATCAACATCCTGTTTCCCTGATGCTTGGAAACAGGCTATCGTCATTCCTGTTCCTAAAGTAGCGATTCCCACGTCTGTAACTCAGGGCAAACCATAGTACAACAAGTGCTCTAGCCAATGTCAGTGATGAGTTATAAGAGGCCTTGATCAATGAAATATCACTTGTTTAGTTCTGCTGGATTACACAAAAGTTTTCGATATGACCCTGAAATTCTGCTACTTAAGCTGTCTTACTATGGTTTTACTGACGCTGCAGTCAATTTGATAAGCTGCTGTTTGTCAAATAGAAATCAAAAGGTCCTAACAGCTTCGAAAATGTCACAGTCAACTGCTATAAAGTTTGGTGTTCCTCAAGGTTCCATATTGACACCTTTACTTTTCTCTCTATATATCGGATATTCATCAATACGTCCATAATTGCACATTCAATCACTATGCCGATGATACTCAAATTTATTTAAGTTTTCAACACAAAGATTTTAAAATAGCAGAAGCATTGCTCAACGAACACTTAACAAGGCTAGAAGACAAAAGAACATTGATCGAAACGGAAATTAACCTTAAAATCTATTATTGCCGGCTTCCTATAATGAATGAGTGTAAAAACCTGGGACTCTGGATTGACACAGAACTAAAATACAAAAAACACGTAAATTCGTTATGTAGTGCATCATACTGCATTTTGAAGCAGTTTTATCCACATAGGCAAATAATATCCACTTCAGTAAAGCTGAAACTGTGTGAAACATTAATTATATCAAAGATCAGTTATTGTGACAGTATATATGGCCCCGCTCTATCATATAGTGAACAAAGCAAATTACAGCGTATTCAAAATTCGTGCGTCAGATTTTCTTGCGGAATACGAAAGTTTGATCATATTTCTTATAAATATAAGGAACTTGGTATTCTGCAAATTAAAGGCATGCAAAAACTTCACTTATTGACACTCACACATAAGGTCTTAGCTACCAAACAACCATAATATTTGCATAATAAGTTAACACGATGTAGTGAAATAAATCAACTGAATACAAGGAATAGAAATATTATAATAATAACAATAATATGTTTTATTTTTTAGTTAAAAGAATAACAATGAAAAAAAACTCATTTGATGAGGGAGGCGGCATTCAAAATAGTTGCTCTTCCATGCAACAATGTTAGTGATACACTTACATTCTAAGGCTGTCTACAAAAAATCATTCAACTACAACGCTATTAAATTATATAATGATCTGCCTGTTACATTCCAAAACTATACATTATTTAATTTTAAAAAGAGGCTTAAACTAAAACTACAAGTCGAGGTCTGATGATGAATACAAAACTATTCTTGTAATTGTTCTATCTTTTTGTGTTGTTAATTATTTAGTAATTATTGAGAATTATGGATACATTTTTATTGGTGGAATGTTCTATTATATATTTTTTCAAAGGTTAAGTTGAAAAACGCTAATCTTAGCGACACTTCGCCTTTTTGTACTTTTACTTAGGTACGAAATAAAGCCCATTTATTATTATTATTATAAATAATTTTCAAGTATAAGTGAGTTTACGTTATTGCAATAGAATGTCCAACAATCAAGCATGGCTAAATAATTTAGTATAAGATCAATAAAAAACTTAGGTTATTAACAAAAATTATAGTAAAAATAGCGTCAAGTGGTTCGACTCTATACTTCCTACGCCTTCGTTAGATGTTTCAAAGGGATTAGTCAAGTCAAACAGAATCGTGATTAGGTAGGATCGCTTCGACCTCTGCATATCAAACTATACAGGGTGTTAGGGAAATAATATTCGTAACTTTAAGAGGTGACTCCTTGCATTATTCTAAGCAAAAAAGTTCATTATAATATTTAAATTCATATTCCTAATAGCGTAATATGTATCGATACATCTATTTATTATTGAACTGTCTCTAACAAAATAATTTCCTTGCTTATTAAATACAATTTTCCGAAGAAAAACAGTCAAGCAAAATCCCTCACACAACTGGCAACGTCGTACTCCGCTTGCACTGCGTGTATCATCGCGTGTTGTGATTACTAATACATTTAACTGTAACTTTATGTGATTTACGGATGTTGTTTTTTCTTTTTTCGTGCGTCGCATCGTTTCAAATAAGTGACTGCTAATCGTGTTAATGGGTGATGTGTATCGCCACGTACCATTAAGTTATGTCACTTTTTTTTTTAAGTGGATGTACTGTACTGAAAGCGTTATTAAATAAAAAATATTAGTCACAAAAAATTGCGTGAAAGTATTCAATAATTCAAGGCATATTTTCAACAAAAATATGCAAACGTAAACAATTCGATGAATCAGGTGCGGTCGTCGTGCGCTCGTATCGCGGTTGCGTTGCAGCGTTGCCAAACGTTTGAGAAAATTTAATTGTTTACGACTCACTTTCCTCGAAAACGATTGATTTTCGGACATAAGTTATAATGAACTTTTTTGCTTAGAATAATGCAACGAATCACCTCTTAAACTTACGAATATTATTGGCCTAACTCTCTGTATAAATCGAATCTATCATATTTCTGCTTCCATAGGAAATGTAAGGAAAATATAAATTATTATCTACGTCTAACAAATGCATAGTATCAAAGAGATCAGTAGCTCCTTGATAATAAAAAGTCTTTCACTGACACCAAATAGCCTCTTAATGATAGAACGTATTTGACTAATAATAAAGACGTTACATTTACAACCTCCTAGCCCCTACAACCCCCAACTCCAAGTTTCAACCTCTGCAATTTTTTTGGAAAACGTATCAGGAACCTCTGAAACGTGAAAAAACGCGATTTTTATTATTTCGTGCTTTTTCCCATAGCTCTGCCACCACTAGAACGATTGAAACTTTCATAGAATCCGAGAGGTACTTCTCAAGTTGCGGGTGGTTATAAAATTAGCGGACAGACCCACAGACCAGCAGGCAGACAGACAGAATGACTTGGTTTTTCATGATATACACATGTCGTATAACATCCAAAAAACATAACATCTCAATTTCGAAAGTTTTTGCGTTTACAATACTTCCTTGCCAGTTTTGGTATAGGAAGCATTTTTCGGTTGTTATTTACAAAATTGGAATCATAAAAATATAGTTGAATAATAATTTCAAGGGAAGTACCAAATTGTTTTTTCTTTAATAATTTCTGAAGGATATTGCATAATTTAACACAGATTTTCAGGCAACTTGGCAACCAAGCGACCAATTAAGGTCTCACATAACTAATAATTCTCCGTGTTTTCTGGCCGTGAAACCATATATATGCAGGCCTGAGTTTTACTAACATTTTGGCCGACATACCAAAAAGTGGCAGAGGTAAAAAATATGACTCACCCTTCCACTGGAGTCGACAGCATTGAGATCATCCCTCGAAAGTCCGACCATGCATGCCTTCCTGAGCAGCTCGGCGAGCTCCTCGTCGTCGGCATCTCGGGCGGCCCTGACCAGTGCCCGGCCACATGCCGAGTACGAGGGCGGCTCAGGGGCCGCCCCTGTTGTAGGGGACAGCGTGCCGTCAAAATACCTGAAACAAAAGATCAGTATAGTACAGTTATATTTACATTAAATTCATGCAACGTTTCAATTATTGAACATTGTTAGCCAAATGGTTAAATCTCCGTCACACATTGCTGTTTGGTAATGGCACAAGATCAACTTTTTTGTCGCTTTTTCTTCAAGCATACACATTGCGATGTCTTTAGCATAAGGTCCGATCAAATTTTCTGCCACTGTATGAACTTTTCCAGATCTTGCGATTCTGTAACTAACTCGAAATGATGCTTCAAGAGCCATTTTACTATCTGCGTTGAAAGCCGACAGGGAAGAAGAAACACTACAATTCTTATTACCTTCCAACTTCCTTCTAAAATATTTAATAGGTTCATCCTTGTAATCCGGATGTCTTGTCTCAAGGTGCTGACGAAGAAGCGATGGTTTAAACTACTGTTGACCAGGACTTCATTACAAATTACACAAAGCGGTCTAGGTTCTGACTCTCCGGTGAAATAAAAACCCGTTTGCCAAAAGTCAGTGTCATATTTTTGTTTCTTTCCTTTTTTTCCAGCCTGTGTTGGGCCCAAATCGGGAACCGAAGAAGAAGCAGTAGTTGATTGCTCTTCTGGATTTTCGTCAGAGTTCACAAAACTGCCCGTTTTTAACCAACTATCCATGTTAAATTTACAGAATATTATTATATTTATTTAATTTTACGTTCGACATGCGTACTGCGCACGAAGTGCGTTCGACTGTACTCGTACTTCCGTAACTGCGGCCTTTTTATATTTGCAGACGTTATTCTCGTTCTTGCCAGGGCATTCTCAAAAAGGTCTCAGTGTATTCCATTCGCCGAAGTAGAACTCTTGCCGGATTGTTGTAGCGGCGGTGTTGCAATATTGAATACAAATTCCGTCATTACCATAATTTTTTCGCGAACCCCTAGGGAACCATCGCTTGAGAAACCCTGTTCTAGATTAAATGGATAAATATGGAATCAGAGGAAAGGCATTTGACTGGTTCCATAGCCATGCAGAAAGCATAATGTTGTGGTACATAATGTACAGTCATAGCAACTTTTACCATACTGGAGTTCCACAGGGTTCCATTCTTGGTCCTCTCTTATGCATAATACGTGCCAAAGATTTCCTCACCAATTGCTCGTTGATCTATGCCGAAGATACATCCATGCTTATTAATGGAAAATGGTTCAGTAACAACGGACTCGTTTTAACCAATAGAAAATCTGTGTTCCTTAGATTTAATCTTTCCAGTTCACCGACAGATCGCAGTTTTTACTGAAATCCTTCAGTAAATCCCATGTTGAAACGACAAAATTTTAAGGCGTATATACAGGGTGTTTCAAACTCGATCCTGATCATTGGGATCTCGGAAACTGAAAGAGATACGAAGTCGCTTAATTTGGGGCAAAGTTGTGTATTTAGGTAATCAACAAAATGTCACTTGGAAAGAAAAAAATCAAAGTACTTCCAGAGAGAGAAGGAAAATCGTTTCAATTTTTCTCTGAATTTATTTGTAGTGGGCTTTCAAAATAAATTACACATTAACATTGCCACTTTCTGTCTTCTACAAGATGGCGTAACTAGAATTTCAATATGACGTTTCGTCTTCGTCCTCCAACGTCAACCTTATTTTGGCTTATAGACGCCATATTGTATTTTTGCACATATGAATAGAGTTTTTAATTCTGATTTAAAAAATGTATGATAAGTCGTAAATTGACATTGTCAAACCTTAGGTAATTATTAAAAAAAACAGAATTTTCTAGCTAGGCGTCGAAATTATCAGAGTTCATTTGTTTCATATACCAGACCAGACCTCAAATTGAACATTTCAACAGAATTTGGCAGACAGAAGAAAAGAAATAAATCGAGCAGTATGCAATGTACAGAGAAGAGTCAGGCTTTGCCTACAAAACAACGAATATTTTAAACATCTGCTATGATTTACTTCTCTTTATTTATGATTATTATTGTTACAACCATCAATAAAATGTTCATGTTGTGTTCAGGTTTCACCATAATTTTTTTTTCCTTATAATTTTCATCCAACAATGAATTCATGGCCAACTAAAGAAACACATTTAGATGTACAAAATTCCAATATAACGTAAATATGAAAAAACAAAGTTGGTGATGGAAGTCGAAAGAAAAAATGTAATAATAATAATAATAATGCCTTTATTAACTGCAGTGAGGCGAAGTTTAGCCAGACGGCTACTCTTACACTCAACCCCACAACAGGAAAAAAATAATACTTAAACATATAAGCAAAATAATAACATACAAAAAAAATATATACAATTCATAAGAATGACAACATTGATTGCACAAGACAAATGCAGATAGTATTGCGAGAGTTTTAAATTTGAAACAAAAATAGTAGAAAATAGTCAAACAAAAAAAAATAAAAAAAAATCACATGAGCACAAGAAAAACTGAACTAAATGGACTCCAGCAGCTGACTTTTCATTAATTTCTTAAAAGAAACAACCTGTTTGGATCGATAGCTACTGTTGACTGCATTGTAATGCTTGACAGCATTATAGGTGTAACTTCTTTCAAAGACCGAGGTATTGTGAGGGGGCATGTTAAAATTAGCATTAAATCTAAGAGCTCTGGTAACAAAACTACCTCGGTGAACTAATTTGCTAGCGAGGTAAGCTGGTCTGTTAGATAGTAGAACTTTATGCGTGAAGACGGTCAAAAGATATAAAAATAACTTTCGCAACCAGTTGAGTTCTTTGATTTTATCTGAGACGCGACTAAACTTGCGCAATCCAAAAATAAACCTACAACAGCTGTTCTGAATTTTCTGGAGTTTCCTTTTGTGGACGTAGTCTAAACATGGGTAATACAGAACAAGAGAGTAAGAAATGACAGACAACAGAATACTTTCAGCGAGCTTTTTTCGGGTTTTAAAATTCAAGATGTATCGATTAGAATAGAGGAGTTTCAAAAGCATATACGTTACTCTAGATAAGAAAGAGACATGCCGATCGAATCTCATATTTAAATCAAGGGTAACACCGAGATTCTTGGCGTAATCCACAAAAGGGATGAGTGTCTCATCCAAAAAAACACAAATCCTCTGCTTCATTTCACGGTAGGAGTTCTTCGAACAGTACAACATTGCAGTAGTTTTATTGGGATTGATCTTCAAGCAGTGTTTGTTACAGTAATCACCGATGTTAGCCAAATCTAAATTAACTTTAAAAGAAACTTCATCAACCTTTGATGGATCGAAACCAAACACTAACTGAGTATCATCTGCATAAGTTTGCATACTACAGTGGACTAAACAGTCTTGCAGATCGATCGTATAAATCAGATATAGTAAGGGACCTAATACTGAGCCCTGAGGAACTCCTGAAGGAACTGGCTCAGAGGAGGAAATTCCCTGATCAGTTTTCACTGTTTGTTGACGATTTAGCAAGTATGACTCAAAGAACCTTAGAACTATATCTGACATTCCATAATGAGATAACTTACTCAGTAGTATCTGGTGATTGACCATATCAAAGGCTTTCGAGAAATCTAACAGTACCAAGACGGTGTTGATGTGATTGTCTAAATTGTGAATGATGGAATCAGTAAGATGTAATAAAGACGAAGTAGTGCTGTAACCAGCTCTGAAACCTGACTGATGTAGAGGAAATAAGTGTTTTTGTTCGAAAAACTCCACTAGTTGTGAGTAGACAGCTCTTTCGAGTATTTTTGATAGAAAGCATAATAAGGTAATTGGCCTGAGATCCGAATATTGTTCTGGATGATTAGTTTTAACTATTGGAATAATAATACCATTTTTCCAACTGGCAGGAAAGTAACCTGTTTCGAGACAGACATTAATAATGTGAGTTATATGGTCTATGGTATCAGGCAAACATAAGCAAACCATATTTAAAGTTAGACCATCAGAGCCACATGCCGTAGACTTAATGTGAGAGATTATATTGACGATGTCTTGCTGAGTAAGGAGTTTAAAAGCAAACAGAGGTGCATCCGGTGTATGGCGTCTATCGCGATAAGAGTTAGAGACACTATCAATCAAATTTGGATCAGCTGCAGCTGTCTGGAAAATTGAAAGAAAATAATTATTTAAAATGTTAGGCTCAAGGAGACTGGGAGGTATCGCAACATGTTTCTGGGCTACCACATTCATCCTCCTCAGGTGTTTCCAAGCTTGACTAGAGTTAAGATTCCGGAAACGTGACATATATGCTTTTTTCTCTCTTCTAAGCGATGCAATTAAAATTTGACTATGTCATCTTGTAGAAGAAAATAAGTAACAATAACAACATGTAATTTATTTTAAAGTCCTATTTCAAATAAAGCCAGGAAAAAATAAAAGTGATTGTGGGATAAATCTGGTATGCGAAACAAATGAAAATCTGATAATTTCAAGACCTACTTAGGAAATTCTGTGTTTTTTAAATAACCAAGGTGCGGCAATAGCAATGTATGACGTATTATATACTTTTGAAATTAGAATTGAAAACTCTGTTTCCCTGTGCAAAAATCCAGTGCGGCGTCTGTACGGAAAAATAGAGTTGATGCTGGAAGAGAAGAGACGAAACGTTATATTGAAATTCTGATTTTGTCATCTCGTAGAGGAAAAAAAAGTGTCAATGTAAATGTGCAAGTGATTTCGGTTTTTTCCATCTCTCTGCGGAAGTACTTTACTTAACGAAATAAATTGACTAAAGGTGGGTGAATGCACAATACAAGTGTTGCTGACAGAACTCACAATTATACGAACTTCTTGAATTCGTTTCTTCTTTGATCCATACTAAAGGTTTACTTAAACTAACTAAAGCTGCAGGTCGCATAAATAAAAAATACGGAAAAAAGTTCAATTACCTTAGGCCCCAGGGAGATGCTATTGTGAGAATTTTAATCAAAGGCCAAAATAGCTAGAGGCAGAAAAACTTTGAATGCAACCCTCCCGCTGAGTTTATTTAGGACTTTATATAGAAAACGGCTTATTCAGTTAACATCTGCGAAGATTTTC